TCCCTCTGTCCTTTCCCACAAAGTTGAAGGACCTTCCAAAAATGCAAGTATGATATCTGTCCCTGTCTCCTTCTTATGAGAGCAAACGGTAAGGTGCAGTCATTGCATAGCTCTGTGGCCCTCCACAGTCTTTCTTCTCTGAAGTAATTGGCAATGCTAGTACTTCAGTCATGGTCGCCAGGCATCCAACACCTACACAGCTAAATGGGAACAGCTCATCTCTTGCTCCTTCAGGCTCTCTGTAGGCTCACAGATATGCCTACAACAATTACACTAGGTTTATGTATTTATGAGGATTTTTTTGTGAGCTGAACAGCTAAAGACTGATTCTTCTCATCTTTTATTGAAAGATGAGGTTTTGGAAAACAAACTAGCAGCTGGAGAGATGCACCTATGTGACAAAATGCTTTGTATTAGCCTAAATCAAGTGATACTGCTGAGACCTGTAGTACATAAGCACAGACACAGACCTTTCCAAATTATTTTATTCAAAGATAAAGGGTCTAGTAACTTTTTCTGTAATGATTTTATTCAGAAGACACAACCTGTTGACTTAAATTGTTGTTTGGAGGTTTTTAAACAGTTTAGATCTAAAAAAGGAACAACACCTCATATACTAGCCAGGTAGAAATACAGGTATTATGTACAGGCTATATTTTCAGATTGCAGACATTTAATTTGCTGTAACTCAGCAGCTCCAAACCTTTATCTGAGAGCGACCTGTAAAAACCAGTTGTGCCAAATGTCAAGATTCAGGTTCATCAGAAACAGTAAACAGTGTCAGCCACTGCCCTCAGTACCAGGTCTGTTACTGTATTAGCTATCAAACCAACATCCTCCAAGTTTTCCAATATACTGGAAATCCTCACAGCTCGGCTAGCCACTGTGGCCGGTTTTCTACCCTTGCTTTGCTCTGTGGTGGCATTACTACAAGGTGCATGCCAGTATATCATGCAAGAGCCACAGGCTATGATGCACTTTCATGAAACAGAAAACTGAAAAAAAGGTTGGTTATTATTTCTGTATGCACCGATTCCCAGGACGGGAGACAAACTTCCATTCTTCAAACACCCAAAACTGCCCTCGAAGCTATGCTTGACCAAGCCTTCACACTGACTAATAGTGCATTCAGCCCATAGCACTGAACAAAATGGGTTTCTTATTTTTGTTTGGAGGATAATTTTAAAGCTGGAACGCCAGAGTGGATAATCAGTTTGAGCAGAGTTTTAGCTCTGAATGGTAATGGTTCTAGCATAAACACTGAATTTCTCTGCTCCTGTGGGTTGAAATCAGACTCTCAATCTCATTTTATAATCAGTTTTCTTATGGCATTGCAGCGTACAAGAACACATGAGGCACAAATGCAGAAGAACCTTTTTTTTAAGGCAGCTGGTAGTATTTTAGTCAGAAAGCCTAGGACCCCCTGTTGTAAAAGATTTCAGTGACCTTTCTGAGATATTCTAACACTCCTGCTGTTTACAGTATCATTTGAAAATCTGGCAGAGTAAAGACCAAATTTGAGGCCTTTGGGTTAGAGGCATATCTATCAAGGGATTCCACTCAGATTTTATTGCGTAACGAACAATAGAAAATTGCCGTGCAATCTGCAGGCGAACTCTGTCAGCCTGCCAAAATAGTAATTGGGCATGAAAATTTTATAGCTGGGTCTCTGTGTTGTTTCCAAAATAGCAGCAACCAACTCTGCTCTGGGAACTTTTGTGGCCACTGTGATAAGAGAGTGAGAAAGAAAAGCCAAGCCATGTTGTACTTTTTGTATTCACGTAAATACTAGGAATATGAAGAACAAGTATGTAACAGTCTGATATATAGGCCCCTAAACCAAGCTCTTAAAACTTGAACTGTGCCAAGCAGCCAACAGCCTTTAAACCGTAGAGGTAGTGTTTACCTGTGATGGCCTGGAGAAGAAATAAAATTAACATCAGTGAAGGACTTGCTGAAATGAGTATTTTGCAAGCTTCCCCCTGAACAGTGCAGAATTTTCCAGACAAGCATTCAAACACATCCTAGATGTTTTGGGTTTTATATAGACGGCTCTCTTGTATTTATTTAATGTTTTTTTCCTGCCTTTTCTCAAGCCTGGAATTTGTGTTTTGTTAACTTTACTAACAGGGAGCCTTCTCCTATGTTTTTAAGAAGTGATGTGAAAGTAGTGCTTCTCTCACATTAACTAGGACATTGGTGACAGCCTTTTGTAGCCAGAGACTTTTATTTTTTGTTTTTTGAAAGATATGCTGAGGACTTGGCTGTCAGTCATCTAATGACATTAAGCAGATGAGAAAAGCTTTCTGCCACCACTGGCACATCAACAAGGTAAAAGAAGTTGAAACAGACTGGCTTTGATTGGAGTTGTTAGTACCCGGCAAGCTCACAAATATGATCATTAGTTCTCTAATTTCACTGGCAAATCTTTCCACAGCACTGGAAGAACTCCAGAAAGCATGCTGATGTTTTGTGGGTGAGTGAATTTAAAACCTGAAGTTGAGCCCCTGGCACCCAGTAAAAAGTAATTTTGTTTTTGGTGGAGCAAGTTCTTCACAGCAAAGCCAGGTTAGAAAGCAGCCAGGACAATGGTGTGGCTTCCCAAGCCTCTGGTTTCAGGAACAATATTCACTTTTATAGAAATGACCTCTCAGTCCCTGCTGAAACAGTTTCACTCATGGATGCCGTGAATGGGAAACTGATGGCTTTGGACAGTCTTGTTGGTTTGATCTGTGCTTCCTGCACCTTTCTGTGCTGAAGAAACAGCGCTTTTTAATAGAAATGCCATGACACTTTCTGCTGTTGGCTGGACATGTACAGAGGTACATGGGTGAAAACAGGGCGAAGGGCAGTTGCTTCCTTGTCTTCCTTCTCCTGAAGTGCATGGCTTGCTCCTTGTTTTTCAGAAGGCAAGCAGCACCATAGTGAGTGGAAGGAGCACTGGTCCCTCTATTTAAAATGTTTTCTTCTACATCTTCTCCTTAACAACTGCAAATAGGCAGGGCAGTAAGTATAGAGGTTTTTTTATAAACTACCGAGGAAACAGTTGCAGAGATCACCTGCCAAGGGCTGTTGTGGAGACAACCCTCTTTCTCAGGAGAGTTTCTTCGGTGTCTCTTTCATGGAAGCGAGGGAGGTAGAGTTGATGACTTGGTTTTCAGAGATGATGAGCAGCTTGAAAAGAGGCAGTGGTTTCTCAGGATTTCTGAGCCTCTGGGTGTGAATTTAGCTGATGCCTGTCTCCTGGTTAGGACACATTTAGGTCAGGGAAGCAGGGAGCACTTCCCCATCCCTCGTCTGGCCATTCACCATGTAAAGGTGTGAGGACATGGAGGCAGCTTGATTCGGGTATACAGCTACGAGCACTCAGGTGGCATACAGCGGCATACCCGTGTGGCAATGTGGCTACAAACTTATCCCTTCAGCACAGGCCAGCTAATGCAGAGGTGCAGGGACTCTGATCTGAGCCTCTGGTTCACCTCTCAGAGGAAACTGTCTCCAAGGATAGAAAGTTGGGCTGGTGTCCTTTGAAAATGTGTCTGTGCCTCTGTATATTTGGAATTGATATAGATATGCAAATTTAAACATTTTGCACTCAAAAGAAGTGCTGAACATTATTCAGCTCTAGGGCTCCAAGAAAATACAACTTTGGGTTGAGAAATTCCATGTTTGGGCAAAAGTTGAGCTTTGCAATAACAGATGTAATCCCAGAGGAGGATTTGTGGGCAGAAGGCTGAAGATATAGCTACAGAGCCACAAAGTCTGAAGTTTATTTCAAGAGCATTACTATCATGCATGTGGGGTGTGCTTGTGCATGCATTATACTCACATTAATATGATGAGCACAGGACTATTCTGATATGGCATAACGGGTTTATTGGCTTGAGGAGTATTTTATCTACAAATAAGCAGGTGATATTTTATGAGGGATTTTTTTTTAAGGAAGATCCACATTTGCTGGCCTGGTTCTTTATTAGTGGTGACAATTTGAAAAGATTTCTAATATTAGAAGTTCTGGGGATGAATATGTTAATGCCATAATGTTTTTATGCTATGTAAGAGATTATATTATTGATGTGATACATTTTTCATGTGTCCTTGTAACTTATCACATACATTTCAAATGTTATCAGTGCTGGAGATTTGCAGCCTGAGCCCCAGAAGCAACAGGGCCAGCTCTTGCTGCAAAGACACAGGAGATACAGGCAGCCTACAGAAGAGTATTGTGGCCCCATGGCTTTCTCACTCTGCTTCTCTTTATTTTGAAATTCAGCCCTAAATCTGGAAAACGTTCAGTTGAACATCTCTGAGCCTCTGCTTTTAGAAGGTGGATGGTTTCATGAAGCAGGACCTTTAAGTATAAATAAAAACTAATCAATTATGATTAGCATGGTAGGTTCTCTATTGAAAGAGCATACTTTCTTGTCCTGTGTCTCTGCACATGGGCATATGCGCACACACACACATTCACTTTCCATTTTTATCAGCTTGTCATTTCAGCCCACTATCATTATGGGATAGCCTTGGATTTAAGGAGCAGAAGCCTTACAGAGTCCCTGGTAACAGCATTATGAACGTGGTCAAAAATAACTAAAAATATTTATTTAAAGATGTTAGATTTGTTACATCTTGGCTGTGTTAACCTGTCTGTAAGATCCGCAGGTGTGGGAAAGGAACAATCGGCTGTGGAGAAACATTTAACTAACTGCTAAAAGTTCTTTATGTCAGCTTTTTAAAGGAGGTGCTAACTACCTAAAGTGAGGGACTGCATCTTTTTCTTTCGTCTTTCACCAGTGCTTTGAAGTCTGTGTTTTAGACCAATTATGTTACGGTCCTGCAGAAGGCAGCTTACCTCCTTCTTCTCATTTCCCCACCCATCAGAGATGTTAGTTTATATCTGTTTCCTTTGCTAAGTACTTAAATGTCTATGAATTAAAAGCAATGTATAAAACCTGACTATCAAGTAATGTGAAACTAAGATTCCCTTTTAACGCAGTGGTCTTGTAACCTGGAATAATATGACCAGTATCATTTCTGAAGCCTGTTGTATGCAGTTGGCACCCAACAGGCAGATAAGAGAAAAGCTTTTGAACTTACAACAGTCATGACCTTTAATCAGAAGCTTCTAATCTTTTGAATTTGCTTTGCCCTGTAGACGACTGAACACACTGAACAAGTGCGCCTCAATGAAACTCGATGTGAACTTCCAAAGAAAAAAGGTAAAGAAACTTCATGAAATGTGCTGGCTTTGCCTTGGCTTTTGTGATAAGACCTCCCCAATTTAGTCTTTAACTCAATAATGCTTTTAAAAGTAACTAAGTGTATTTGACTTTTAACGTGTGTGTCAGCGTTATCTGGATGTATGATAATGTGAATTGCTGAATCTTTAAATTATAAATAAAATGGAAAAATTCTGACTAATACAGCAGGAACAATACTAGGTTGTGTTCAAAGGACACACACAGTACTTAAAACTTTACGTATGTGCTATTTAAGTTAGCGGGTGAAAAGACAGTGCGGTTTCATTATGCTGGCTTGTTTGTCAATGCCTTGTGAGTACACAATGGAAAATCCTGCTCAGAAAAAATGGAAGCTGCTCGGATGAAAACAATAGCATTTCTTTATTTCTTGTACTGACTTATTCCCAGTTAAGAACATGAAAATAGACTCTGTCATCCTCACAAGCTCCTGTGTAACATGGGAATTATTTGAGCTTAAACGGTTTCGGCGACGACTGCAGAAACTGCCTATTGATGTTGAGAATATTGTAACATGTCCAGCGTTAACTGTCAAACGTTTGGTTTTCTGGTCACAAATTCCCCCACGCCCTTCAGCAGTGTACAATGGTAGTTGTCGACTCTGAGAAATCTTAGTGTCTGTTTTTCCTTCCTTGGAGTATTTGTCTAATGCTTTTTAGAAACTACTTCTGAGTCGCGTTTTTGGTGTCTTTGCAGCTTGAGTCTATTCATACTCTATTCAATGTTTGGGGGAACTTGAACAAAGAATGGGTTTAATGTCCAAATATTCTCCCTTTGGCACATGCCCATTTGTTTCTCTGTGTATGTAGCCTCTTCAGCTTGCATTTTGTCCATTCACTGGAGCTGCAGGGACCTCTCCTCTTCACTGCTGCAGACCTGATGGGTTTTTCTTGTCTTTGATAAATGCCAACACTTCCCACATCAAACACCCCCACATGGTACAGAATCACAGAATGGCAGGGATTGAAAGGGACCTCTGGACATCATCTAGTCCAACACCCCTGCTAAAGCAGGTTCACCTAGAGCAGGTCACACAGGATTGTGTCCAGGCAGGTTTTGAGTATCACCAGAGGAGACTCCACAGCCTCCCTGGGCAGCCTGTTCCAGTGCTCTGTCACCTGAGAGGGAACAGTAAAATCCCCTGACTACACACTAACTTTATAATTTGGGCAGGTTGGCACTATAGGAAGAGGGTGAGGTCCTTCAGCAAAAACTAACTCAATCAACTGTGTTGTTGACCTGCTTGGAGCCGTGTCTGGTTTGCATCCATGAGCTTGTGTACGTGTGTTCAAGCAGAGATACTGGAGCTGCACAAGAGACAAAATTACAAAAACAAACATGTAGGTGAACACTGATTGTCCTATGGAAATTTTTTTAGTTCCTGTCCTTCTTCTTTTCGACAAGTATTTTGGGTTTGTTATGCTTGTTTGCTTGCTTGCTTGCTTCTTTAAGTGCCTGATTACTTTGGGTTAAAAAAAAGGGAAAATTTTCTTGTTATCTTTGGGTTTTATTAATTTTTGCTGCTACTCCTCCCTGTTCTGAATGGATTGAAGCCCTCGGCTGCTCTCCTTGCAGTTGACCATTGATTTGTTATGGAAGTGAGTCTGCCCTACTTGGTACTCTTTCAGGGAGACAGAAGCTAGTTGGGTCCATATCTGCATGAAGCCAGAGGGAAGCAAAGCACAGAAAAATGTAGAGAAAAAGGGGATGAAGGCAATTTGGGATGACAGATACAGAACAACTGAAAGTAGAAAAGAATGTGCGGGAAAGAAGAAGAGGGAGGAGAGACTGCTGACAGGAGGAAATGTAAATGCAAGTGTAAAAGCCAGAAATTGGGGCTGGAATTGAACACTGAACCAAGTAAACTTTTTTGCTGTAGATACTGCCTTTTCTAATAGTCTCTATAGTGATCTGAACAATGAAATGCAAAATCAGCTTGCTTTGGAGGTTCAGCGTAACAGGTTTGCACAGGACCAGGGCAGCTGCTTGAGGGATTCATCAAATACAACCAAGCGAGCTGCCAGGCAAGGTTACTGTGAAAGGCAGCACGGCATGAGCGTTCCCCACCACCCACTTTCGCACCTGAACTGTTGATACTGTGAGCTACTCTCTTTCTTTTGGCTTCATCGAGATGCATACAGAAATCCTCATGTATGTGTTGCAAATATGTCCGTAAGCGATTTGGACATACAGAGATTAGCCTTTAGATTAACTGCCTTCTGCAGCTGTCGATTTATGAGAATTCCTGCCCCCAGCTGGAAAAATGTGGCAGAATTCCACCGCAAATAAATCTGCTTTTTGCCTTTTGTTAACATCCCTCTATATCTCGGGCAAGTACACCCTTAGTCAAAAAGCTGTACTATTTTAAATCAACTGTGACAAATCTGTGAATCAAAACCTCTTTCACTTTGGCAAATGTTATCGGTCACTCCTCAAGAAACTTGTCCCTTCTCATCTTCCCAAATGTAATGGTATTAAATGGACTTTTGAATACGCTCCAAAGCCGTGCACTTGATTTCACCCTAGGTCAGTAGATGCATACAGTCACTGCTCCAAGATGTCTGCTCCGCCTGTGTAAGATGAATCGTTGCTTTCAGACCTACTCTTGATCCGTTGTCCCCATAGCTGGTGACATGTTGGTTGGCAAAGTGCTCTCTGCATTTTTTTTAGTACAATCTCATTTGTCAGGGCATTCTGATATCTAACAAGAACAGTGGGTCATTCAGGATGTTCGTGGCTTCCAGAATTTCTACTGATTCCATCAAAAGAAAAGCACATTATGTCACAGGACTCACAGTGCAGCTGAAATTGGAGTGAGTCACCATGGCAGCATTTCAGTATCTAGATATTCCATTTGTCTGATTTTGCTTCTGATGAAACACAAGCATGTTTCGTTACCAATTAAAAAAAAGCAAAACTAAATATTTTTTTTAATTAAGCTGCAAATTTCAACACTGAAAACCCTCTGTACTTTCTGAGTGGTTCTTGGGCAGAATGTAATCCTGTCTTTGTTGTGGTTAGAGGCAAAACTTGTTTACTACCAATATCCATTTCTGTTAATGTCTACTTTCTCAAAAAAAAAAATCTCAAAACTTATTTTTCCTCTAAAAATGATTTAAAGTATATTCACCACTGAATTTATGTTTATTTCTGTCTTCTACTCTGTGCTTTCCTCTTGGTATTTTTCACAATGTCTCTACCACTTTGGCTAGTTTAATTGATTCCAGCTTGTAGAAAATAAAGGCCAAATCCTGTCAGTTCATATGGTAATGTCAGTGCAGCTACAAGGATTTGTGCCAGCCAAGAATCTTCTTTAAGGTCCATTTGGCATATTGGGATGTACAACAAATTAAAAAAAAAAAAAAAATCCCATTGGCTGGTGCCATCAACACTTCAGCAGCGGTTTGCTTTGGAGATACAATTACCGCTACTAAACATTTAAAAGTACATACCCTCGTGTTCTTTAAAATATCCACTTTGTGGCTCTACTAAGACCATGATAGATCAATTAAGTGCCTGAGTCTATGCAGTCCTTCACTCCATATATGCCAAGTGTGGAGAGAAAATGAGAGCTGTCTGATACGGCATTTCTCCCCTGCCGACAAAATGGCCAAAGCAGTATTAGCCTTTTCTAGCCTCTTAGCTGATGCTTCACTAGCTGCTTAATTTTTCTTTCTAGCTAGCCACAGATCTAAGATCTCCATTCATTCCTGTGAAATAACATCAGCTACAGGAGCACTGCTCACCTCAATGTTAACAGATAAAAGAGGAATGACTAAACCCAAAATTTCATAGCTATATTTTATTTTATGGTTTGGACATGATCTAAAACATCTGGCCGACTTGAAGTGATAAACTGGCAAAACTTATGGCATTAGTGAGACCTGGCACACTACTGATCCCAATCTCTGTCTTTTGAGGTTTCGCATTATTTAAGGTTTTGGGTGCTCTTGTAAACTTCGGGTTACATTTTTCAATTAGACAGGCCAGAGAGATCTAGTCAGAGATGGGATATAACTTTACCATCAAAACTTCATAGAAAAATACTTCTAATAATAGACTTTTAAAATAAGAATTTTTCCAGTCCCAAAATAGTCTTTCTGGTTTAGCACCTCATTTTAGTCTGACAGCCTGTCATATTTTACTGCCTTCATACTGCTTCCAAGAATGTGAAGAGCTGTTTGGATGTCATGTAGGTGAAGTTAGTTTGCTCTGCTTTGAAACAAATGTACAAGAATAAGGCAGTATAAACCTGGTTCAAAGTCAGGGGAAGGAGACTCATTAGCAACTGTGGGCTTTGCATCCTTAGAGAACAGCGAGTTCAACACTGACTGCGCACTTCGTGCTGAAGATGTATCTTTTTTGTTTGGACAAACAGATGAGAAGAATGTCATAGGGAGAGCTTTTTTATGCAAATTTTTTTTGAAGGCGCATGTTGTCTGCATTGCAGAATAGCTCTTGGAGCTGCTTGAACATAAGCACAACTCTGCATGCCCCAGGCTGAGGGATGAGACCAGGAAGGGCTGTGGGGCTGCTGCTGCCTCGGGAGAGGTCGAGGGAAGCCAGAGACAGTGGAGCAGGCTGGAGGTTGTCAGGTTTGGGGCGCCTCTGATGGCAAAGGCAAAGAAGATAGTGGTTGCCACTGTAGGAAAGCTCACTTCAGCTGTTGATGCTACCTATTCCAGGACTAAGCCTGGCTGCTTCTCCTCCCCACACCTCCACGGCTGCCTTTGCTGCCTTCCTTTGCCTGTGCTCAGACCCATCCTAAGCAATACCTCCAAATATTTTTTTTTTAATTGTCATTTTAAGCATCATGGCTATTTATATCTAGTTATGTTCCTGAAACCTGAATCTTGCTAGTTGTACCTGATCTGTGAAGTTTATAGATGTTTATTTAGTTCTCACTACAAAACTAAGTGCAGCACCGAATATTTGCTGTCTTGATTTCTTAAATGGCTCACATTGCTGTAGTACCTAGCTACTTCCCAGTCTTTACCATGTGTATCTTAACACCATCCCTGTAAGTCAGGATCCCTCTACTTGGACCTTTCAAAACTTTTTTTTTTTTTTTTCCTAACCAGTCACTGTGGGCATCAGTCCTACACACTTCAGTGCACAGGCAATATGCCCCACAGAAACCAAACCAAAGAGGCACTGATGGGACTCATGAGCTCCCTAACATAGAGCAGGATTTTATTCCTTACTTGTTAAGATGCTCGCTGCAGTCTTTACAATTGAATGAAAGAGGCTGTTATGAAAGGACTCATAACCAGTCTTTCATAAACTAGGTTCAGGGAGACTTTACCACCTGTTGCTCACATGGAGCAGCACAATCACATTAATTCAAATAATGAGTAAAAGCACCTGCTTTTAACATATGCCACTTGCTGTTTCCCAGAGTGAAGATTCAGATGAAGAAGACCTCTGCGCTATCAGTAATAAATGGACTTTCCAAAGAACCAGCAGACGATGGTCTCGGGTGGACGACATTGATGCTTTGCTTCACCGATCAGATAGACATGGATCTTCTGGGGACATTAAAATGAAAAATACAACAAGCAGCGAGAGCGTCCTTACAGATCTGAGTGAACCTGAGGTCTCATCTATTCACAGCGAGAGCAGTGGGGGAAGTGACAACAGGAGTCAATCTGGCATCAGCAGCGCTGCCAGGGAGACCTGTGACTGCTCTGGCCAGCATGATGCAGAAAGCACACTTCTGCAAGACTCCACTGCGATAAACACCATCCTGTCCCCCAAGGACAACCTGAAGAATGAGAAACCAACACGAACCAAAGCAAAAACCTTTCTAAAACGCATGGAGACATTGAAAGCAAAAAGTGTGCATGGAAAACTAAAAGGCTCAGGAAGAACGGGTCCTTTAGAGATAAGTGGACCTGTTCTCCAGTATGAGCCAAAATCCTTGAAAGACATGCACTGTAGACAGATAGTCAACGGCAATCTCCAAAACTTAGGACAAGATTCAGTCAAAAGAGGACTTTCCTTTTCTGCCAAATCCAGCAGTGACAGCAGTCAGTCCGAAAACAGCAGCAGTGGGGTGAGCACACCGTGTTTGAAGGAGCGCAAGTGCCACGAAGCAAACAAGAGAGGAGGAATGTACCTGGAGGACCTAGATGTTCTGGAAGGAACGGCCTTACGGCAAGTGGTGGACCAAAACCGCAAAAATGAATTTCATTCCCAAGAGAACTTGGTTGTTCATATTCCCAAGGATCACAAACCAGGGACCTTCCCAAAGGCACTTTCTATTGAAAGCCTCTCACCTACAGACAACAGTAGCAGTGTAAACTGGAGGACAGGCAGCATCTCTTTGGGAAAGCAGAACTGCTCTACTCCAAAAGAGTCTGGATTGATGGCTTGCTGTCCTAAAGAAAGCAGAATTAGTATTTATGACAATGTGCCAGGTTCCCACTTGTATGCTAGTACTGGCGACCTCCTGGATTTGGAGAAAGATGTCCTTTTTCCTCACTTAGATGACATTTTGCAACATGTCAATGGACTCCAGGAGGTGGTAGATGACTGGTCAAAGAATGTGTTGCCAAGTCTGCCAGTTGATGATGTGTCAGTCAGGGAATCTCCGTCATTGCCTTTCCAATCGCCCACACAGATCACTCTTGATTTTGAAGGAAACTCTGTCTCTGATGGCCGGACCACACCAAGTGACATGGACAGAGATGGAACATCCTTGAATGAATCCGAAGCCACTGGTGTTAGGGACAGGAGAGACTCTGGGGTGGGAGCATCGCTCACAAGGCCAAGCAGGTAGGTACCATAATTTTATACACAAATCCATAGGCTGTGAAATATGATACAATGAAGCAGAGTCTCTCAGCCTGGGAGCCAGAAGGTGCAGGGTACCATTACAGTTGTACTGATCCTGTACAGGTATGGGGACTTCCCAAGGAAGGTTGAGACTTTGGGTGAAGGAACATCCTGCTATGGAAATCCTTATGTGGAATCAATGGAGAATTGGTCTAATAGAGCAAACAAAGGCTTTTTTTTCTCTCCAGATCCATTGATTACATAGTAGGACCCTGTACATGTTGTGGGATGTATTTTCAATTTGTCTCCTGCACACCCTGGTATTTATGCGTCAGGAGCCTTGCACACTTTTTTAATGCACTGGTCTGCTGTAAAACTATGTCCCTTTGTGCTCAAAGAGAGTTTTCCTACCCTGCCTCAGCACATTCTGTGACAGGATGAAATGATGGTATACAATTAACTTCTTCATAAAAGTGAAAAGCAGGGGGGTTTTAATAATTTGGAGACATGTTTTAAGTCAGAGGGATGAGATCCCATTGAGACAAGGGAGCATGGTCCTGGGTAAAGACCTCTGTGGATCCATACTGCTGTGTGCAGAGTGTCTTTGTCTGTGCAAAAGCGGTGAGAAACACCTAGTATTTTCTGATCTGCTATCAGTCCTGTCATGTCCTCACAGAAGATTCTGCCGTGCCATGGTTTACTGCTGTCCGTGCTTGCTCATCACCATCACAAGCAAGTGAACTCGAGGAAACTACTGAGTAAATGAGCAGTGCCAAAGTTTTTAGGATTTGAGCCACAACTCATGTTTAGCAAAACAAGAAACTGAAATGAGTTTTTTTCCAATGTATCCAGTACGTAGAGAAAGTGCATTGGAGTAAAGAGAAGATGTGAGTGGCTCAATAGCTTGGTGGTTACAGCTCTTGCCAAGAAGACACAGGGTTCAATCCCTTCTCCAAAAAAATCCTTCAGTATTTAATAATAGAGATATTTGGAGAACCTCATCTCCAAATACCTTGGTGGTCAGACCGGTCCCCTGGGAGGTGAGGGACCAGGCATCAAATCCCAGTTCTGAGTCGAGGAGAGAATATTTGAATCTGGATCTCCCACATCCTGTTGGAAATGTGTGGGCTAAAGGGCATAGCAGGCAGCAGTGCTTCCCCGAGTACATGGACGGGACCCACACCCAATTGTGAATCTAACGTTAAAAAAATTAAAGCTTAGGCATTGCCAAAATGAAAGAGATCGAGCAAATTATTTTATTTGCCTCCAAGCTACATTTTCTTTCAGTTGACAAACCGCAAGCCATAACGTATGTGTGTGTTTATGTATGTTTCATATATTGCCCAGCCCTATCTCACAGTATATAATTTTTTCTGCTCAGTTAAAGCAGTTGTCTGATTTTTCTATTGTTTCTTTTGGCAAAGGCGATTGCGATGGCATAGTTTCCAGATCTCTCATCGCCTGAGCCACTCCATTGCATCACTTCACATCAGCAATCAGTCAGCAGCCCAACTGAACCTACTGCAAAAATTCTCTCTGCTTCGTCTTACTGCCATCATGGAAAAGTACTCCATGTCAAACAAACATGGCTGGACCTGGTGAGTACCATCAATAACTGGAAAAGATATATTTTAACAAGAAAATAGTTTGTCCTAATTCTGTTGTTCTGGTAGTAAATTCAGTAAATGCAATTAGGAGGAGCAATTGATTTCAACTGTAGAATTTCAAACTGTCCCCGTTAATCCATTGCTGCCTAGTGACTCAGTGGCAAAGTCAGAAATAGATCCTGGAGATTTGACTTCATTCCTGTTCTCTAACAGAGAGACAACCCCAGCCTCTCTAACAACACTCTAGTTCCAGAAAAATAAACAGAAGTAGGGGAGAGCGATTAGAAGGAGGTAGTGTTTACGGTAAGTCTTCCCCAGAATTCATTTTGTAATTCGAAAAGAAACAGCTGCTGCTGATACTTCATGCATTCAATATTGGTTTGTTTGTGCTTTAAAAGAAGGGTTAGAACAGTTACGGGACTTTCCTCTGCAGATCAAAAGATGCAAGCTTTAGCCTAATCCTGGACCTGTGTTAGAGGGAGCTTGCAGCTGTGGCAGCTGTAACCGCTAGCTGGTCACTCAGAGAGTGGAGTGAAGGGCAGATAGACATAAATGCTGGCAATGTGGCTCCTTCTGTAGCAACTGGCTACAGAAATCTGCATGTTTAACAGTACACGGACCCTGATGGGCCACGCAGACTGAGGTACACTGAAATGGAAATGGTCATAGATAAGAGATTCTAAGTATCTGAGAAATAATTGAAAATATAACAGAAACTTTCCCTAATACACAGAGACACTGAGTCCAAAAATAATATGACTTGACATTTACATTGTGATTTCCATGTTCAAAGCACTTCACCAAAATCCCACTAAATTTAGCTGTGAGCTAAATAAGGCAAGTTTGCCTTTAGAAATGGAAAAACAGATAGAAGGGACTACATGTAAGATTCACCTCACTAGCACCAGCGACTCCGAAAGTTGCAAGTCTGATCTGAGCAAGTCGGGTCGGCTGTCTGTCATCAGTGGAAAAAGACAGGCAACTGCAAAGGCAGTGGCAGCTCATTCTATTCAAGGCTGAGGGTTTGGGTCACCCTCCAGAGGGGCCTCACTGCACAGTATGTAAAGAGGCAGCCTGGACAGCTAACTCTTTCTAAATCTCCGTTAGAGAGCTAAAATTCAGTAAGAACACCCAGATTGCTGTTCTACTTCGGTGCATCTTCCTACACCTAGCTGACAGTGTCTGTATTGAAATGCATCTCACCTTAACCAACTCCAAATAAGCAGACTAGAATACAGCAAATTCTAGATCCTGCTGTTTGTACAGAGGTTTTCCCTCCTGACAAACATTTCTTCAGTTTGTATAATCAGCCTCTAAAGATTTATAAGAGTGGGACTCTAAATAGCTGTAAAGTTATATGCTGTACTCCTTCAGTAGGTCATTTAATCCAAGTTTTATCTCCTTCCCACACAGATGAGAAAAATCTTTGTCACATTCAGGTCATATTCATCTTTCTTTTTTTTTTTTTTTAATTCCACTGCAGTCATGACTCCCACAAAGAGAATCCAGTTTGTTCTCGTTTTCACCATCATTTTTGGAAGAAAGCAAGCTCACCAGCTTCGCTTAAGTTACTCAACTAGAATAAATCTTATAACACCAGGGATGAATCTAGCATGCAGGGATTTCCCACCACCATTTATTACTGTAAATTATTAGTCAATAGAAATAGTAAGTCACATAACTGGTAGCATAAAAATCATTCAGTACGTTAGAGGACTGAACCTTTTTTTCTCTTAAATACCCTCTCCACTAAGTTTTGCTGTGCCATTCCTTTGAATCGCTAATGGACGCTTTAAACCACGTTGGCTTCAGCTGGATGACAACTGCATTGTAAAAGTTTTCTGTTAGAACAGATTGTTATGCTATATCTTAGAGCCAGAGGCCATCTGCTTATAAAAGTTGTCAAGAAATCCATCAATTACACATATTGTAAAGTGTCCGTGTATTGTGCATTAAACGTTATTTCACCATCTTTATAAAAAAGGCCCCAGTTACCAATTTCTGCCAGCAATGTTACTCAGAGAGACTGTGTAAATACTCTGATATTTTCATGCAGCCTGTTCATGTTAATTTTCAGGTCTGTGCCAAAGTTCATGAAGAGGATGAAAGTCCCTGACTACAAGGACAAGAATGTCTTTGGTGTGCCTCTGATAGTACATGTCCAGAGAACAGGACAGCCTCTTCCCCAGAGCATACAACAAGCGCTACGCTACTTACGGAGCAACTGTCTAGATCAGGTATGAACTTTACTCCAGTAACTCAGTTGATTTTTTCTGAAAAGCCACCCTAGGCAAGCAATGGTGAGCCTTTTTGTACTTGGTACCAGAATTATTTGAAGATTGTTATATCTCATCTTGGGCCCAGATCTCCTCTGGTGATTTGATACTTGGTGCCAAGGAGTTGGCCATTTTGAGTTTTGTGTGCAGCTATTCTGTTGAATTCTTGTACCTATAACAGTCCTGCTGATTTGTATACCATAGCGTACCTCAAAGAAGGACATGAGATCTTCATGTCTATTGAATCAGACCTGGGAAGAGATCAGGACTCCCAGCTTCTATCCATATCTGCACTGCTTACGCTTTGACTGTTGCCACTGAGGGTTAACTGCATTCACCATTTCACAAGATATAGTACAAAAGGTTTTATTTACTTAACAAAGAAAGAAAAGTCCAAGAATAGAGAGCAAACTCAGCAAAATATTCAAAGTATTCTGTTGACAAAGTCAGATATATCCAGATAGAGTTAGGTCAGCAGGGGTTCAATGCCAAAGCCATTATGGTACGTTTCCTTTTATAGTGTTCTTAGCTGCAACAAGCCAGCCAGGAGACCCTCATGCTCAAAGTATTTCAGATTTTTTTACTCCCTTTAACTACAGAGCAGGGACATACCAATCATATTTTTACTGTTCTTCCCCTAAGGATGAGGATACATATTGTTATGAACATAGGACTGGGAGAAACCCCCTGGCTGATTACATTCAGTCCTCTGCTATTATTGATCTCTTCCATAACTGCATTTAGATAGTTGTAAGTTCAAAAGGAGCAAGTAGCATTTTACTCGGCAGACTTTGCTCCTTTCCTAGCTCTGAGCACACAAAAAGGGTAGAAGTGGTTGGTTCTGAGTCTTTCAATTTTCTGATCACCGTTCTGGTTGCTGTTCAGGTTGTTTTGTTGGGTGACAGTCATCTTCCCCTAAATGGAAGTCAAAAATTAAGTGCCTAGCTGTGAATCATAGCAATTACAGTCAGTGGCGAGACACAGGCCCTTCCTATCCTTTCTCTCTCTTGACTGCAAATAGATTCTGTAGTGGTCAGACCTTGACATCTAACTCCTCAGTGTCAAAAGTGAGGTGAGGTGAGTTCCATACATAGCACAGGAGTTGAGGGATGGGAGGAATAGCCTGTTGGAGAAGTATTAATAGAAGACTCATAGAGACAGCTAGAAGCAATATATTTAGTAGCTAACATACCTGGTTATTGCTGTGGTAATCTGGGTTTGTGTACAGAGCGGGGAAACACGCTACAGGGAGAAAAGTGACACAGCAAGCCTGGAATCAGTGATGGGATTGAAGGAGGATACACTTGCCCAAGTATGAGGAACAGGAGATGTGGAGATAGGGATGGGCTTGTCAGCTAAAAACCGGAGCAATAGGAAGTAAGAGGAAACAGAGGGGTGATAAATGGGGGAGAAAGTAAAAGGGAGGATAAAACCAAAGAGAAAGAAAAAGCTCTTGAGTGATTTGAGGCAGTCAAAAGGTGTGTCCGTGAGCACTCTCAGGCAAGTATCTGCTCTGAGAGGGAGGTTTGACTTGCTGGGAACTCAGAGCTACATGAAAGGCCATTTCAACTCAGCTTGAGTTTCCACTCAGTGGAATTGGGAAAATAATGACTAGAAAATGAAGGAGAAGTACAGATCAGGACCATTTAAAATATCTTTCCACCAAAAACCTTTCTAGGCCAAAACCCTCCAGACAATTCAGCTTCTCTGCTTTACAGTCACTCCCTTTGTTCCTATTTAATTCAAAGTCTCCTAATGGCCAGCCAGAGGTTTGAGCATCCTTCAGTCTCCCCCAGCATCTTGCTTATGTGTCTCTTCCATGCACTGCAGAAGGCAGTCTAGAGTCCTGAACAGGCATCAGAGCTTCTACTGCACACGCTTGGTAAAGTTGAGGTTGCTCTAAAAGGACTGGCTCCTGGCACTGAAATATCTAAGATGGTATAAGGAGCCTCACCATTATTTGTAGGATATGTTATTTTGTTTCAACTTGTGAAATAGAAGCTGCTTTTCCTTTTTCAACTGCATCTTTATTTCTGTCATGCATCATATGGTTACTTGCAGGGCAGATGATCGACAGCATGAGGGTAATAAAGAGATTGGGCCAGACTAACCTCTGATAAATCACTGGATTTATAGTCCCATTTTATTTACAGAATGAGTCAATAATGTTGCAGAACAGAGCCTAAAACATCTTTTTCTGTCAAGTGAAGAACTGTCCTCTTTTGATTAATTATGATTTTTTCCAAGAAAAGGGGAAATAGGAGTTTGGATAAATATCATTAAACAAAAACAGAGATTGAGAGTAGAAGAATGATATGCAGCAGGAGATTGCACAGGTTAGATGTCATGTTTGATCTCTTGAATCAGACTTAGCTGGAAGTTTTTAGAGGATTTTTATACCAGCAAGGACACTTCCCGTCAAAAGCAGAGAACTGAGCCTCTGCTCTCACATCTACCACATTGCAAAACTATTTTTTTTGATAGAATTAGCCTGCATCCTTCTGCATCTTCAGCACACATTTCTAAGAGGAAAGGGGATTTTAAAAGAAGAGAAAGGGAAAGGGAAAATAAGATTAAAACAGTCAGATGCTCTTTCTTGTTATTCTTTTGTGAGAATGAAGAGCAGAGCTTCACCTGTGAACAGAAATACAGGGCACACTCCAGTTCTCCACTTCCTACACATAAACTTAGCTCACAAGTGACACTAAATTCATCAATAAGAAGACATAACAGAAGAGCTGCCTCACAGCCAGCCTGATGTAGCAGTTCATCTCCATGTAAACAAGTGCATCCCCTCACAGAGCTGCGGAGTGTGTGATTTATGTAACTAGTGTCTTTAATGTGTGAGTTAACAAAAGTCCTAGATACTGTACAGTTGAGCATGGGAGGTGTTCTAGGGAGAGGAGGGTCCTACGTGAACTCTGTGCTGGCAGGAGTAAGGGGAAGAAGGCCAGAAGGCGTTATGTCCTTGCCTTTACACATTTTTGTCTGTGGACTATGCCACGCTGAAAGCTGAACTGATCACCAGTGAGAGAGCAAGCACAGAGGAACTGAAGTCTGAAATTCCAAACCTGAAATGTGCCTTCTTCATGGGTCTTTCTCAATATTTCACCTTTTCCCCTGCAAAACTGAAGGAAAACAGTGCTAAAACTTCCCAAATGAAACACTGTAAACTCACTTGGGAATAAATAATGTGGTTGAGGCTTAGGAATTCGCCCCGGGGGAATTCCACTGGTGAGAAGGACGGAAAAGGGCAGCACTGCTGTGAAGGCATCATTTGAAGAATTACCGCTTCCTTTAGAATAGAAAGCAAACAGGATAAAAATGTATCTTCGTGCACAAGTAATCCCTCTGTGGCCCTCACTTTTGAACTAGGGTTTTCAGTGGGATTTGGGGGAACTGTTGGAAGCGGAGAGCAGGAAGGGAAAAAAATAGATTTAGTTTTGATTTTAGAGCTCTACCAGGATGTACTAATCTTTTGCCACAGCATTTATTACTTAGCTGAGCATAATATTTTCATGTTAGTGTTCAAAACATATACCCAAATAAACATGAAGAACCAGATTCTCAGCTGGAGTGAATCAACAGACAGTCACCCAAGCCAAGCAAGCCAGGCTGATTTATGTCAGCTGAGCATCATGCTTAAACTCTACAGGCAGCAGGGAAACCACTTGCACTCTGAACTCTCCTTCTAGGATGGGGTACAGAGCAGCAGCGTTATTAACTCTTACAGTCCTGCTGTGAGAGCCTGCGCTTGCCTATGAGACTTGTGGGCAAGTCATGACCATCGGATTTGCACATTTTCCTTGTCCTTGCCTAGAGTAAAATAAGCAACCCAAGTTTTGGTCATGATACAAGTCTCCTGTAATAGATTTTTTAATATATATTTATTCTTTAAGTAACATTTTCTTTTTACTCAATTCAACATGGTGCCTTTTTAGGTGGGTCTGTTTCGGAAGTCTGGAGTGAAATCCCGAATCCAGGCCCTACGTCAGATGAATGAGAGCTCCCCAGAAAATGTCAGCTATGAAGACCAGTCGGCGTACGATGTGGCAGACATGGTAAAGCAATTTTTCAGGGACTTGCCAGAACCTCTCCTCACAAGTAAGCTAGGAGAGACTTTTCTACACATCTACCAATGTAAGTTGAAATATTTTTGTTATTATAAACAATTAGAAAATATTATATATTATATATAATAATATATTGTAAATAATTTTGGTATGTTAACATGGGGTGGCATTCTTTCTGCTCACCTTTGAGATATATGAAAGGACCTCTCTGCCCTCAAAATCTTTCACTAAGAGATCTTTAGAGCCACCTAAATGTTTTGATGTCAAAATACTAGCAATTTTAATGGAAAGACAGCGTTCAAATGTTGAGAATCCTTGAAAATATCAGCTTCACAATCAGAAAGAAGCCAGAAGGACAGGCTGCCATGGACAGAAAAAGCACAAAGACTCACATTTTTGTCAGATTTCTTTAAACTGTGGGCCCATTTCATGCAGACATCTCAATACAAGTGAGTCTCCTGGGCATGGAAGAGTGGTACATGACCATGAGAACACGTGCCTGTGCAATCCTCTTCCTTGCTGTGACTTTTGATTATTTGCCTTTTTATTATAGTCAATAAAATATACATGCAAGAAACAAGCTGCCTTCGTTTAGATCCTCAGCTTTTATGTAAAGATTTCATAGAGAAAGAAAAAAACACAAGATTTCTTTTCATTTCAGCATAAGCAGTCTTCAGCAAAATCTGAGACTCAAGTGCATCAGAATGATGAAAATTGCTGTAAATCAGGAAATGACTGTGTATCTCTTCTTCAGACTGAGGGAGAAATAAACAATGAGGAAAACACTGAAAAGCCAGAGGAATTAGAATTTTTTTCCTGACAATGTCCATTATGAAGGCCAGTCAGCCAGGGCTCTGGCAGATGCAGAAAAGCATACCCAGCCAGCCTAAGCCAAATAATTGGAAGCACTAGAGAAGTGTGTCTAGTCTTTTCATTTGCAGACATTTCAGCTGCCAAAACAATAGAAAGCCATTTTTAAACACTGTATAATCCCAGTGCTAAAGAATCTAAGTTACTTCTGTTGCCTCCTTTTACTGTAAAAAATCTGTCTGTGTTTCATGGTTTACCCCCAGCTGGCAGCTAAGCACCCCCCAGCCACTCACTCACCCTCAGTGGGGTGGAGAGGAGAATTGGAAAAAAAAAGTAAAACTTGTGTGTTGAGATAAGATCAGTTTAATAACTGAAATAAAATAAAATATTATAATAATAATAATAGTAATTAAAAGGAAGATAACAAAAAGAGAGAGAAGTAAAACCCAAGAAAGACAAGTGATGCACAGTGCAACTGCCCACCACCTGCTGATGCCCAGCCAGTCCCTAAGCAGTGATCAGCCCCTCCCCAGCCAACCACTCCCAGTTTATATACTGAGTATGACGTCCTATGGTATGGAATATCCCTTTGGCTTGTTTGGGTCCGCTGTCCTGGCTGTGCTCCCTCATGGCTTCTTGTGCACCTCCTCACTGCAGAGCATGGGAAACTGAAAAGTCCTTGACTTAGGATAAGCGCTACTTAGCAACCACTAAAACATCAGTGTGTTATGAAGATTATTCTCATGCTAAATCCAAAACACATCCCCATACCAGCTACCAGGAAGAAAATTAACTCTATCCCAGCTGAAACCAGAACACTGTGGCACATAGTCATTAATGTATTTAACATCACAGTGTCTGTAGCTGGTAGAGGAATGCTGTGATCCTGCACATGAGAGACAGCATTGCAAATAAATTTAGTGGATTTGGTCATACATGATGTCTTGGGACACAACTGAACTGAAACAGTTGGTGCCCAGCCCTGGGCCATCATTTCCTGCTCACAAGTTGCAGGTCTTGTCTGCCTACACACACATCAATGAGCTTGTTCAGAAAAGCAACAGAAATTCTTGGTGCTAACAAAATGGCAGTCACAACTCTTTCCATAGCGAAATGGCCAAGGAGGAGATTACCCACTAGAAGGTCATGTTCTACATGTCCTTGGAAACAAATCACCTTTAAACTATTGCTTAATGAAAATTGGGAATGTCCTATCTTGGTCAGGAGAGACTTCAAGCAAACTACCCCCTTGCCAAAGGAAGAGAGACATGGCAGATCTCAATGTTATCGGTGTTATTAGGTCTGTAGCCAGAAGGACTCCCCACCTCTGAGTCGGGAGTCTGGTGTTAGGATTCACAACAGCCACGAGGCTGAACAGTGAAACATTACTCCCAGCCAACAAAAAACTGTAAAAAGGGGCACAGGCTGACTCTGTAACCCAATGTGGTACTGCAGTGGGAAGTCAGAAGAACTCTTCTTCACACTGATCAGAGGAGGAAAAAAAGGTGCTAGGAAAGGTTTTCTTGAACTGCACCAGTAGTTTAAAGGATTTCATAAAGACTTGAGGATGGGTCTGTTTAAACCAGGGTGGGAACAGGAAAACATGGGCTCTGTAGACACTGGAAACCAATGTTTGGATTAAGAATGAGTAGCAGTGGGGCTTCTTTTCATGTGACCAACAACAAATATATTTTTCTGTTTTAGACATTACTGACAAAACTCCTTTCACAGAAAGAAAAATGTTGAAAATTGCTGGGATACCAATTGTATTTCATAATGTCTGCAATTAAATAAATCTGTAGCTGGGAGTTTTTCTTCCCCTTCTTCCTGTTTAAAAATTATTAATGTGAAGTTAGGAAAGATTTTTCCCCTCTTAGTATATTGGCAAGGGATTTCTGATTTTCTGGGACTCACTGAAGATATTTTTCATGTATCCAGGACCTTTTCCATATATCCAGGACTTTTCTTACATATCCAGAATAGCTTGATTTGCTGTGACACAGAGGATTGGGGATGAGATGATTAGTGTAGTAGTCTATATACCATAGCATTCGTGAAACTTTCTGCATTTCCCTAAAACTCTCAGTTGCCCAGCGTATGCCCGTGACTTGAAGGGCTGGCTGTTCTCTATGCATCACACCCACCAGTTGCAACAGTACAGGTGAGGGAGTACCAGGAGGATATGTTGGGAGAAAAGACATGCTGCAAGGATTTAGCAAAGGTTCCTCTGACTTCTTAGAAAGACCTGGCCTTGATGCTTCTAGAAAATCAGAAGCACTGGGCTGTGTTCAGTTTGTCATTCATGTCTGAAAGCGTTTTAAATAAAGTGCTTGTACAAGGCTAGTGGGCAGAGCTTAAAAGCTGTCTGTTCCCTCTACTGTTAATCTGCTTTTGTTCTTCTTCCATTTGATTATATAGAGCGTATGTAATACCCAGAGGAGGGCTGTAAGTCCAAATGGAGAAATCTTATGGTAGTTTTAGAAATCAATGTGTCTGAGGTGCTATTTAAGTGTATCTGTTACCACTTTCATTAAACTCTTTTACGGTCTAGGACACAAGTGTATGTATTGTCCCAAAGCTTCCCTAAGACTTTTGACCAGTCTTCCCAGGGCACAAAAGAAACCTGAAAAATACCATTTAAAGATATGAGTACTGAGTACTACTCTCCCTTCATAAACTTTAAATGAAGTTCAGACTTTTTCTTGAGGAACAGCCTTTCAAATGAACAGACAAATGTCATACAATGGCTAGGGGGGCTGTGCTTGATGGAGGAGCAAATACCATGACCCTCCAACAACCAGCTGGTCTTTGCCCCTTTGTCTCCTGTCATCTGCCTCTTCAGAAAGCCATTCCCAGAGTGTGAATGCCTGTGCTAACTCTGTCTTGTTCCTGGCTCTTTATCTGATCTTACAATTGACCCCACTGAACTTGCTTTTCCTCAGATGTCCCCAAGGAGCAGCGGCTGCAGGCGGTGCAGGCAGCCATCATGCTGATGTCCGATGAGAACCGGGAGGTTTTGCAGACTTTGCTGTGCTTCCTGAGCGACGTCACCTCCGTGGAGGAGAATCAGATGACTCCTATGAACATAGCTGTTTGTCTGGCCCCTTCCCTCTTCCATCTCAATATAGTGAAGAAAGAAAGCTCACCAAGGTAAGTTTCTTCTCAACGCTGTAAATACTCATATCCTTAATACAAAGTGATGCTTTCAGTGTTTCTTGTTACACAGAGCATGGCTTCAGCGAGAGGGGAAAGCCCATGCTGCAGAGCCAGAAGCGCACTTGTACACGCACAGAAGGTGTTTTCACAAGCCCAGCAGGCATTTCTGGCTGGCTGGCTGTTGTGAATATGCAGTGCTTGTTTTCCATGTGAAATTTCAATGGGGCACTAGTG